CATTGATCAGATGTTGTAAATTTTATCAACATCCAATAATCAATAGCAACGACGTGTTAATGATGAATACCTGTTGTCTCGCGTCACACCCGGTGTTCAAATTTCAACGTCAGTTTCGTGTTAAATTCTAATTAATAAACATTTCAGGCTGATATAAACGCATATGTTTTTTTTAACGTCGTTCCTCCGATGGGTATAACTCAAGTATTTTAACTGAATATGACAAATTTCTACAGTAATCTGATGAATGTGCTCCCACAATCCCTTGATTGTTTCATTCTACTTAGCCGATTCTCTTTCGGAATTTGGTATATTTTTCAGTTTCTCCTGAACTTAACTGTAGGTGGCAACTTTGAAATGTTTTTAAACTTCCACCACAATGAAATCTTAAAACTCTAAGGAGTTGTAAACTATATTTTCTAAATGCCAAAATCCGTCGATTTGAACTGACTTGAGTTTGAGTTTCACTAGATATTAATGCAACATGAGTAGTTTTCGCGTTACAGAATAAACCTAATGGCTCATGGCTGCGATTTACTTGGTAATGAGATACGGAATTAATAGGCCGATTGTGATATGAAACCTGGGGAGTTTGAAATATCGATGTGTAAAAAATTCATGTAAATGATCAACTTCTTCGATGCGATGATATAATGAATAAAGATATTACGAGTATTAATGCTTATTAATCAGTAGTGATAACATCCCAATTTCGGAGATTGATTCAAGGTTGATTGCCTCCCATCAATATATTTGTCTATATTATTTTCATCGATAATCATATACAAGACATTACAAGCTGGTCATTTTTCTTTCACCAATCAGCTCTACATAGAGCAACGTCAAGACGAAGATAAAATATTTAAATGACGTCAATTTTTGTTTATGAAAAATGATAGTGAAACTGAGGATAAATTGAGACGCGATTGCAGTCTTTGGTTAAATTTATTACGCTTTAGAAATACTGAAATTATTCACAATATACAGGACCAAAATATGTACAAAAATTAAATAACCTGTACAACTTAACAATAATGATAACATTTCCATTACCACTCGTAAGAAAATATACCATATCCTTAATAATAGAGAAACCTAATTAAAGTTTTTTCACAGAAATGCCGCACCGCTGACTCTACTTCCTTTGCAGTGAGAAGAGTCAAGCTGTCAATCGACACCCAACAATAAGTAGGAGATCGCATTCTCACGAAAAATGTATTGGCAAACACAAGCCATATACCATAGACTCGTGTCAAATAAATGGTCCTATTAAGGGGGTGTTTAATTATAAAACATAAAGAAAATCACACAAATTAGCCTCTTGCTAGCTTAACTTCTAAGAAGGCTGAAGAACTATTGAGAGAAGAATAGCTCTTAGACGACTACATCTACACGTACAATGTTATTTTACTGTACACACTCGGCACCTACAATGATATGAGGAGAACACGTCTCATAAAGCACGAGAGTTTCTAAACATTATTATGTTCAACAATCGTGATGGCACATAGATCACATCAATTAAAGAAATATAGAAGAAATGCAGAACACTTTATGTTTCATTGAACAGATCTCAAGGTTTTGAAGCAATTGGTTTTGACAGAAAACCCTGTCAAAGTAGAAAACCAAAAATACTAATACATTTAGAACCAGCCCATTCGATTTACCAGAGTATTCTTAATAACTCCATTACTTTTTTGCATAAACATCATGTTACGCCAATTGCAAATAATAATGATGGCAATAAGAGTTAACATTTCGAAGTTTTGTATGCTATCATTATAGCGCGGCAATCACGCGAAAAGTGGCCACATGTACTTGTAATCTAAACTTTGTAACTCCGTAATACTTTTCCATACCAGGAACTTGCATCATTCAAGACGCGTACCTATACAAGATCCTTCTTATTAGGTCACAATGGCTGCAAAAATTAAAATTTTCTCGATATAATATGCAATTGGCCCCGCATGGTTACATGGGAGCTTGCAATTTCACTGCTATGTATAAGCGTGATCCGAAAAAATTGAATGCATGAGCAAATGCAGAAATGAAAATGATCGTAAGAATGTTTCACACCATAAGCTGGGCAAGCTTTGTTTTCCTTTACCTCCTATACACGTATCGTGGAGAAGCGATGCATGAATTGACTCGATTTTGACATCATGAGAGGAGAATTTGATCATCAAGAGACGAGACTACTCAAGAATTTGATAACTTCAAAATGTTCCAGTTCGTTCCCTTTCGTCGTCGCTGTTAAAACTGCGCAACTAATAGTCACTCCTCTACCTAATTTTCACACCTATGAAGCAAATTTTGAAAAACTAGTCGCCGTTAGTTATAACTGTTTATCCCAAAGTCAGTTAACAATTTATCATCGTAGCACTCTCAAATCACACTTAGTCGTCTTTATAAAATGAAAAGCTAAGCCACCACACTTCGTCAAGGTTCATATAACTAGTGCCACAAAAATAATTCTTTGACGAACTTTCCTAACCATTTCTACTATCATATAATCGAATTCAACATATTTTGTTGTTCATTTCCGGGATATATACGTCCAGCTACAGGGTGATTCACAGAAACTTCCTGATTTGAAAGATCAACAAAAAGTGAACTCGGATGTAACGAACTCACCGCCCTTTTCCTACAACATCTGCCTGCTTGGCGTTAAATACAAAACAGGAAGTTTCCATGAATCACCCAGCATCTCAAAACGGATTCGTGCGTGCAAAACTTATGGGCCTAGTTAATATCTTTCATTACTGCAGTAAAACTATATAAATGATGGAAACTCGTGTCAAAGTTCATATTTAAGCAATAAAAATAAAGCAAATTGCATTTTGCAATGTCGCTTTACACCAGTGGTTCCCAAACTTTTTCAGGCTGGCGCCCCCTTTGGCTCCCTAGTGAATTTCTAGCGCCCTCCACAGACAGATATAAAAACATCGCCTCTTTCTTGAAATTTAGTACGCTGCAATTTTAAAAGATAAAGGTTAAACGCAACTGTGTATTTCACGAATAGAACCCCATTTAGTGAACCAATATGTTTTTCAGCTGTTTTTACTGTTTCAGCACTAGAAACCTAGGACGTCTCGGGCAAATTTACGGCCGGACTCGTGGCCGGTCATCGCACGACCAATCTCCAAATTTAATTATCAAGTAATATCTCCCAAACTAATGAACACAGCTCAATGAAACTTGGGACATGTATTCATCAGAACCTAACGGTGATTTTTAGCTCGTAAAAATTTTAATTTTCACCTTCATTCCTGAGTTATATTGCGATAAAGGCCAAAATTCGCAGTCATCCAAGAATTTCTTCCAAACTACTGGATAGATTTGAACGAAATTTCGAATATACATTCCTAACTACCAAACGGTGATTTTTTAGCTTAAAAATTTTTCGATTTTACCTTTGTTTGCGAGTTTTTTTTTTATTTCACCGTCACTCCTGATTTCACACTTCCTTATATTCGGCCCGCATCGCCAGATAATTTGTCGCTTAAATTCGCGGTGATCAAGAAATTTCTTCTAAATTACGGAACAGATTTCAACAAAACTTTGTATATAAATACCTAACCTCCCAACGGTGATGTTTAGCTCGTCACAATTTTTCTATTTTGCTTTCGTTCGCGAGTTATACAGATATAGGATGAACGACCGGCTTTTCTACCGGCCGGTTTAACCAGGACCGTTCGACGTATAGCCGTATAACTCGCAAATGAAGCAAAACGAAAGAGTTGTAGTGAGCTAAACATCACCGTTGCTGAGGTTAGGTACTTAAATACCAAGTTTCGTTCAAATATATTCAGTAGTTTTGGAAGAAATTTCTTGATTGCTGCGGATTTAAGCACGTATTGCTGTTTAAATCACGAATGAAGGCAAAATGAAAAAAAAATACTAGCAAACGAAGGCACAATCGAATAAATTTTCACGAGCTAAACATTACCGTTCGGTAGTTAGGACTGTAAATTCAAAATTTCGTTCGAATCTGTTCAGTAGTTTGGAAGAAATTCCTTGATCACTGAGAATTTCGGCCGTATTGCAATATAACTATGGCAAAAAAAAAAAAGGAAGGTAAAATTAAAAAATTTTCACGAGCTAAACATTACCGTTAGGTCCTAATGAATACGTGTACCAAGTTTCATCCAGTCTAGTTCATTAGTTTGAGAGATATTTCTTGAACATTGAATTTGGAACGTGAGACCAGCCGCGAGTCCGGCCGTTAATTTGTACAAGACGTAAACCCAGGAGAGGTTAAAATACACATCTGGGTAAAAAAACCATCGCTATGTCTGCACGTGTTGAGTACTAATCGTCAAACAAACGTTGGAACCTCTGAATTTGACTTCGGACTGTCGCCCCCCTAACGCCCCCCAAATGCCCTCTTCTTCCTTACCGCCCCCAAAATCTTTCCATCGCCCCTAGGGGGGCGATATCGCCCGCTTTGGGAAACACTGCTTTACACGTTTAACAGTAAAGCGATTAAATACCAAGAAGAATCACGACTGAAAAATCATTTTCATTAGTAATGTCTTTAAAATAAGAACTAATATAGCAAAAGATATAAATGAAAAACTTGAGCTTGAATTCAAACAAGTTGCACGAGTTTTCGATTAACAGTTCAACAATAAATCTGAAATTATTTCAAACTCGAAATGTGAGCAAATGGAAGAAGATTCCAACAAATAAGTTCGAGATTCTAGCATACTGAGTGTTTTATGTTTAATTACGTATTATTTTGTGCCATAGCAAAGCTACCGCTACAGAAAATGTGAACATAAACTGCAACATTGCGTTGATAATCTTACTCTCACCCGTCCATGTGAGGCAGATGGAATGGCATTCCAATTCAAATTTCATTTAATCATTTTTTCCTCCGAAAATAAAGAATATTTCTGACAGTCACTAGACTTCAGTAGTCTAGAAAGCTCACTCTGACGTTAATCAGGTGTTCATGTAACCGATTTCCAGACATTGGAAATCGCAGAAATGTTCTCTAACACAATATACATGATAGTTCAACATCTGACTAGAAGATTTTCCGACTTATATGCAATTCTACTTCGATGAGAATTACCTTATCTACTGATATATATTTCATTTAAATCGACAAGCCGGACAACAGGTCCTCCTAGTATACACGCACACACGACATACAGTAAGTTATGAGGAAGGCAAGGATGTGTAAAGCCTCAATGCTTAGAATTACTTACACAATTCTAAATGCAAGATGTGTAGATATTCGATAACGAAAATGTCATGTTCTCTTAGACAGAAACAAATCTTTTATAATGTACAATAAGGCGTGTAGAATTCACTCCCTTCAGCATACTAATAATAGTTCTCATACTTGGCTCGTCAGAAGAAAAAGTATGTATAAATGAGCAATAATGTAAAGAACAAAGAAAAACAAATTGAGCACAATAGGGTACAAAAACATCAAAATCGGAGGGGGCAGAAAAAAACGCAGAAAATATCATGAATAATATTAGCTGAATACTCAACGTTCAGAGGTGGACAAAGTCTTTGACTTTGATAAGTCAATCGAACAAGTTGCATGAAGCAATAGAAGGAGTAGAAGGCAGGATACTTTACCCCAGTATGGCACATCGAGATATGACATCAAGTTCCAAATTCACGTACAATTGGCCACATTAAGAGAGCTTATAAGTGCAAAATTTGAATTCTTCGTTCTTCTACGAAGAAAATAAGTGAAATCCATGTATGTCGAGTAAATTCTGAGATAATGTAACATCAACATAAAAAACGAGGATAACAGAGCAAATAGCTGAAGTCAACAAAAGAATGAAGAACTAAGAGATTAGGACGTAAACATGTCAATGTTAAGAAAAGAGAGCGAAAAATACGCGACGACGTTACCGTGCCACTGATTCCATTTGCTGGGGTCTGTCCGAGTTGCTGACAGGATTGTGTCTCGGCGCTTGATTGTTCTTGGCATCGGACGGCGTGCCATAGAATATGGAGGCAGACTCGTAGAATGCATTGCGTTCTGAATACGGCGCATCAGTACCGTCATACATTGAAAGGTCTGAGAACCTGGGCTGATCGTCATATTGCAACACTGCAGGGGTCTGATAACTGTTATACATGTCAGAACGCCTCACAGTCGTGGGGATTACCTCACCGAACCTCAAGTTTTTAGGAGGTCCTGACATGTCCAAGCTTGAATTAGGAATGGGTGGGTTTAAGTTCGAGGTCTCCCGAGGTCCAAATCGAGCCGCGGAAGTGGCTCCAATAACCCTAGACCCGCTTAGACCCTGAAGACCTTGCAGACCGGGAATAACTTGAGACGAGGAATCAGAGAGCTCGTGTCGGGGGGAGGATGAGGAGGAAATTTCCAGGCCATCAAAGTCGCCGGTGTTGACCCCGCGTTTGACGAGTGGACTTGGAGCCGCGCAGGGCTGGCGGGGCAGAGATGCTGTTGAGTGCGCTTGAGGCTGCATAGGAAAACGGCAGGAAAGCTCTAGAGTAGAGTGGGCACAGCAGGTTGAGTAACCAATATAAAATTTTAAAAAGAACATTTTTCGAATCATGTTAAGGCCGATTTGTAATTTTCACATGTAAAAAAAAAAAAAAAAAAACTCCGTACTCACTGCAGTGAGTGACAGAGAGCGCATTTTCTCGTCGACGAAAACGCGAAGTCACGGACGGACTGACAGACAGACGGACGGACGGACATGGCGAGCACAATAGCGCCTTTTTTCATTAAATGAGAAAATGCGCTGAAAAGCGAGTCTTTAACATTGAAAAGAAGGTTAATAATTCAATATAGATTTAGTGTGGAGCTAATTTTATCTACAACGCCTCGGCAACCGGCCGAGTTCACATGAAGACAGTTCGTCGAATTTATTAATAAGAATCTTAGTAGTGACATGGAAAGGAGAAATATGAATTAGTCCTAACAATTAAAAAAACACAAGCTGAGAGAGACGAAGAAACCCTACCTTGTGCTGCGATACCCTGGCGACCAAGGGGCTCTGCTGGCGACGCTGTGTCTGGGGGAGCAAGTGAGAGGCGTGGGGAGGGTCGGGCGGAGGGTGTTGGGGCAGGGGGGGAGCGTACTGATCCCACGGGGAGAAGTACCCGCGATGAGCAGCCCCGTGAGGCTGGATCATAGAAAAATTAAAGGGAAAAAATAATGATCAAATGTCAGCCAAACATCGTTCCCGGTTGCCTAAACCATTTCAGACAAATTAAAATAAAATCTTCCATTTAATTCAATTAAATGATAAGTATTTCAGCTGAACATATGACCTTATAACGAAAACAGAACGTGAAAATTTTACGAAATTGATGTTTAATTTCGTAATTGTTTAATTGATGTTTAATGATGTAATAAGTACGAAACGACTAAATACAGGAATGGAGTACTAACGTTGTGCGGGGAAGGTATAAATTGTCGCTGCTGCTGCAGCTGTTGTTCGTCTTTTTGCTGTTGTTTCTTAAGTGTGCAGTAGAGAGCCAGGTTGTGGTTGGGGACTTGCGATGCTGAGGTGTAGTCGTTGCCCGGGGGCGCGGCCATGATGTTAGGGGTGAGTGTCCCCTTCTGCACACATCCAACCAGAAATATTTCATTACCAGCACGCAAAGTTACGAACAGGTTTCACCAAAGTAATATATTTAATGAAGAATAAGTCGGTGTATTCTAAATCGAAAAAAATAAGGGAAGTGATTAAATATTTTTGCTACAAGCTGGACATTTGATTTCCATTTAAAATTTTCCATTGCGTTTTCATGCTCACTTGTATTTGTCTGATATTTTGATAGAAAGAAATTTCAAAGTTGCTTACTGTTCAAGGGACATCGTCACAACCTGAGCAGACGTAAGTGATCACACGATTCAGGCATATAATGCAATCAATCAATCCAATACTAGGACCTTTATAGATAATTGAAATTTTCTATCTTCTTATGATTTTACATTTACTTTTCAAAACACGTGATTTTAAAATGAAATGATGGCTCAGTTGATAAACTATCAATTTCTAAAAGGTTATTTAACTAGGGTCGCGTAATCAAAAATAGTTTGGAATTACTAACTCCATCGGCCAATCACTGACAGCTTTTCAAGCCCGCCAATCACAGACGAGGAATCATCCGCTACGAATATTTCGATATCATCCGCTACGAAAATTTCGATCTTTATGAGACATTAAGCACGTTTTAATGGTATGGCCTCAGTCCACCATGTTGATTTCTTAATAAATTACCATGAGACACTACATTAATTTACTCACATTTCTGTTGCGTATAATGCTGGTGGTGGCGTACGCTACGGGAGTCTCGGGCTGTTGTTCCTGGGAGCATGGAGACATTCCTCGGTTTTTCAGATTTTGCAGGTCACGGTTGTTCTGCAGGTCTCGTTGGTCCTGCAGTTCACGTTGGTTTATCAAGTTTCGATGGCTTTGAAGCGGCGAGGTGGCAGGATTCTGCAAGTTGTTCTGCAGGACATGCGTGGGTGTGGCAAAGACCTCAACATACTCGGCCGGAGTAATGCTGACGGCGTTAAGAAGCTTTTCAGTGCTAGGGTCAGCTTTGGTGTCGAGAGTGTTGGCGTTGCTGCCGTTGCTGCTGCCGCTTCTCTCAATCCAAAGCCCGTTGCTTCCGCTGCCCGTGGACCCGTTCATGCCTCGTGGCTCCATTTTATATCCTTCGAAACGAGTATAAAACCTGAGTTAATATCACACGCAGAATTATAATCAGGAAAAATAATGCAAATAAATAATGGTGGAGATGAGTTTGTCAGCTAAGAACTAAAAATTATTTTTGTCATTTCCGTGGAATTGAAACATAGAGGAAAGTTAGTTGTCGAAAAGAAAGTTGCTGGACAAAAATTTTTTTTCAGAACCAGGTACAAAGAATAAAATTCTTTGGAATGTAGTGAATGAATAGTACTATACTACGAAATATACATTATGATGCTGAAGTACCGTTACTCATTACTGAATAAGATATGCGTAACACAGACTCAAACCAGCGACAATATTGGACACAAAAGAATATTTATAAATTATTCTCCTTCGAAACACGAGTCAGAGAGAACTTCAAAAGTAATGCGGTAACAGTCGAACAATAACAAAATAAATAGCAAATAAACAACAATAGCCCAGACAATGTTTCCAAAGCTAGTTTCTTGACTTTCTTCTTTCCATATTGCTCGAGTCACTACAAGAATGGAAAATATCGAGTTTCAAAGGAGTTTACAAGTTTTAAATGTAAGTTTTGTAGCTGCTCATGGGACTGAAAAAAGATGACTAGGTTAAAACGCGCTCCAAACGTTCTTAAGAAAAACAAAGTCTACTTAGGCGAGCTAACCTCATTACGTCCCATTATAAGTCACCGGGAATTGCCTTAAGCTTCTCAACAACAAAGCCGAAGGAATAGTGGGTATTTTTATCCGTAAATAAAGCAGGGTCATGCTACACGTCAGCATAATGAGTCTCAACAACTTAATGAGCGAAGCATTTGCCTTCCTACGAGACTGGCCGCGTTGCACGCTATCAACGTCACGCGCGCGTGTCAACTGTGCAGCGTTTGCAATACGTTTCAAGTGCAATTAAAAGCTCTCTTCGAATACGTTTTGCAAGATCAAAGCTTCGGTGTATAATTTGTTCATTTGGCTCGGTCGCATGCTTTTAAGTGGACAGTGAGAGATGGTCTCCAACTAATATTAAAAACGATCACTGGGTCTCGCGACCATAGAATATGACGACTTAACAAGCGACTACAAACAATTGAACAAACGTAATTTTCAAATTCTATCAAGGACCAAGCTTGTTAATTGTGTACGCACTTGTTATTGAAATAATTATGCGACAGCTCGTATTAAAAATATCTTGTACTTTTGTGCCACGCAGTTGGACGCAGTCGGACATAAATCTGCATTAGACTTGAAGTTTCTAACCTTGCCAATAATATAATATTGGCATTAAATGAAACATTGCCAATAAATGAAATAGATTAGAGAAAAAAACATAGCCTCATGGACACATTTTACCAAAAACTTTTCAATTAAAATTTTGATGAAACGGCTTTATGAATTTTGAAAAGTAATACCTAATACGTCATTTAAATCAGACGAGGCAAACAATGGCTAATAAAATTCATGCATGCTCATCAAAGATTGACCTTGGCAATGAATGCAAAAAGTTTCATGAAGACATGAACATTAATGTTCTTGAGCAAAGAAGTTACCACAGCTCACTCCGCGACAAGAAGCATTCCATTTGTTCATTGCCAACTGTCATGTCCATGTTAAACTGACATCTTGGCAGGACCCTATTTTCACAATTGATCTGGAGTAATTCGTTAGTGGACAACACATCTCATATTTAACTACACAGTGTTCTGTAACTACACATAAGTGGGATTCAACTATAGATTTGTATGATTGAACTACACATAATGTATAATCCACACATATTTTCTGTGTTTCAATCGCGTCGCGAAATATTGACGAATAATTACTGTGTTCAATCAATTACTGTGTTTCATAATTAGTGTGTTTCAATCACGTCGCGATAGATTAGCGAATAATTAGTGTTTCAATCACGTCGCGATAGATACAAATATGTGCATTGCGGCAACACTCACCACCGAGCGCGCGTTTCTCGTTGTTCCTGCGGCGGGCGGCGATGACGGCGACGCAGACGGAGAGCGCCAAGACGACAGCCGCGCCGGCGCCCCCCAGGAACCAGTGCCCCTGCAGCACCGCCAGCAGCGGGGACGGCGCCCTGCTGGGGCCCATGCCCGCCCCCGACGGCAGGGTCGGGTCCTGCACGAAGCGGTACGGGTCCGAGTGCGGACCGCTGCCCAACCTGTCACATCAAAATAAATAATTACTTCCTTCCTAATAATAAAAAATAGAGGCAATTAAAATAGATATAGGCAGTTATATAGAGAGAACTGTAATGTAGGCATTTAATATAGAGCGAACTGCAGTTATAGGGCTTACTTGTCCAGCAAGAGAAATTTATAGTCACGTTTCACCTAATGGAAGAATTCAAATAAAGCAGTTTATTGGCTGATTTTGTTTTATAATTAAATTTATCTTAACATAGTCACATAATCTAAATAATTGAGACCATAAAAGAAATGCATGTAGCTTTACAGAGCAATAATGACAGATTAAAAATAGAATACGCACAGCGGATTTAGAACAATTCTGCTAAATTTTCTAGGAACATTACAAAGAACAGGCGAATCAATTTAATAAATTCAGCTCAATAATGAACTTGAAACATAGCAACAGATCTCTCTCCATAAGTTACGATGACAAAACTGATTTAAAAATATTATAAGCGTCAAGTAGAGTTGAAATGTTAATCTAACACCGCGTCGCCTACACCAGCAACATTGTATCCAGAAACTCGCCTGGTTTGAGCTGCCAGGGACACCGTATATCTGGCTCCTCGAGTCAGGTTGTGCAAGGTGACGCTCAGAAGATCAGGTCTGAGGGTAAGGTTGCTATGAGGGCTTGTTTCGTTCTGTCGCAGCCACATTGAGAACGAGACAAGAGGGCCGTGAAGGTCTGTGGCTCGAGGCGGCTTCCAGGATATTACGGCACTCGTGTCGTTCAACACCAAAGATGAGAGGCCAGTGGGAGTTCCTGTGGGCACTGCACACATGCGTTTTTCAGCGACGGATATTGTATATTTTGAATTTTATTGGAATAATTAGTAACATAATTCATAGTTTCAATTAAAAGTGTTGTGATAGACGAATGATGCATAACAATATAAAACAGTGAAATCCATATCAGACAATAATAATACCAAAACGTCAACTGTTTCGATCTATATTCCAGCTTTAGATGAATAGCAAACTCACCGTCCTCTTGAGTTCGCACAACCCTAGAATTCGAGGGGTGGCCGTGTACGCTGCCGGAGAAAGGAATCACGAATATTTCATAATGAGTGTACGCTTGCAGTCCGGATATTGTTTGGGAAGTTATATCTCTGGAGCGGACCTCTGCCGTCTCGAAACGATGGTTAGCAGAGGCCAAGTCTCTGTACATGATGTAGAATCCCTCCATTACCTCTTCGTGCTCCAGTACCTGCAAAATATAACACGAGTCATCGTATTGAATGAAAACCAAGCCATGTTTGCAAGAATGCAGTCAATTCAATGTAGACAAGACGTGAGAGTGAAAAGTTATTTACGAAACTGCAAATTTTGAAGCAACGTAAAAAATTTTCAACTATAGAAATTTTATCTATTCGAAATTCTGATATTCTTACTGACCTTCCACTGAATCCTGATGGCCGACGACGAAATCGCGGTCGGCTCCTGGAGTGTCACCAGAGGATGAGCCAAAACGGACCTTATGCGTTCGACGCCTTCGTTCCCACTACTGGAGGCGTCACCAGTTTTTGCAGAACCTCCATCTCTATCACTTCCTATCACAGGGCTTCCGTTGCCAACTCCCCTGTGGTCCTCGTTGTCGCGAGCGATGAGGGCAGAATCGATGCCCATGTCGGCCACGGGCTGAGAGGTGTCCGAGTGCGACGTGATCAGTGCCTCGGAAACTGGCGAGGCGGGAGATGTGCCCACGAGGTTCATGGCTCTGCAAGAGAAATTCATAGAAGGTTTCAGGGAAAACTGGCCGAGTTGCTGCGAATGCGGCGGATTTGAAATTCCCCCCAAATTGGCATCAGTAGAACATCACCCGAAAGAATTGGGTGACGGCATTCCTTCATTTGGCAGAGGCGGTCAGAATATGGTGAATTAAAATATAAAATGTAAAGTAGGGTGAAATAAAATATAAAATGTAAAGTAGGGTGAATTAAAATATAAAATGGAAAGTAGGGTGAATTAAAATATCATATGTAAAGTAGGGTGAATCGAAATATAAAATGGGTGAATTAGGATAAATTAAAATATAAAATGTAAAGTAGGGTGAATTAAAAACAATCAATGAAGTATGTGGAATGTATTAACAACTTGACACATGACCACGAGCATTAAAGCACCAAAAGTGACGGCGTAAAACTTGTTCCATTTCACTTCTTCCACTTTCGCGGATACTCTCTATTTCGTATCAATCAGTTCTTGAAAAAAAATGATAGCCTCTTTTTCATAAAAATGACCATAATTACTGTGGAAAAACATACAGCTGAATTTAACGGATACTAATCTTGTATAAAAACAACACATGAGGCGAGCGCGGATTGTATAACCTTCAAGAGTTGAATTCCAGAGTTGTTTATATGCAATGTTCATAAAATAGTTAACACTCCAATAAGAGCCAACAAAAACATTTTAATATCAAATTTTTAGCGTTATAGTGTCTAATTTGAGCAAAATTATTCACTTTGATCGTCACTGCACATCGATGCATGATAAGTGAATTAATTATTCAATCCAATACGCTTTAATAACGATCTAATAGCTAAACTTTGTCTGAAAGCCCAACCCTATATTCCGTCAGGAAATAGTTGTTTAATCACATGATTTTCGAGAGGCATATGTGCTCGAGTGGAGCAGTCTTGTTTCTGTTCAGCTAACAAGCAAGTATTCGCCTGAAAAATAATTCGTAGAAAAACTACGTTCTGCGCGCGAAAATATTATTGGAATTGAAACTATGCCCTTCACTGCCAACAAAACTGTGCAATCTAAAGAATCCTTTACAGCGTTTGTGATCAGGGAAATTTTTCAGAGCAATGCTTTCACTAGCGCTTCGAAAAATGTCCCAATATATCATGGTTTGAATTATCGCGACATTCCGAATGTGACGCGGAGCAAATTTTTTTCAGTACATGAAGCTAATTAAGTGATTTTTTTAGATCAAATTATTTTCCAATTAGAGTGTTTCAGGATTGAACTTCTTTACGTGCAGCAGCTGGAAAAATACATAGAATACACCTATTGAGAGTCAAACAAATCCGGTTATTTTTGTCTGAAAGTAAACTCATTTCAGACTGTGAAATGAATTCATGTTAATTTTTATCTTTGAATTGCTGCTAATGATTTTTGAAGCGGAGAGAAAATTCAAGCAAACGCGATAAAATTTGCGAATGGGTAGCTAATTTGAGATGACGGTGAAATATACCCTTGAACAGTATGAAAGTTTGGTCCCAATTTGGACATATGCAGTTAAAACAACGAAATAGGAAAGTAACATATTTTGAATAGAGAGTTAACTAGGCAAAAACATGATTTTTCAATAACTCCTGAAATCGTTCCCGAAAAGATGCACTGCGTCAATTTCATAACTCAAGCGTCGCGGATAAGAATCAGTGTCGAGTGCGAGAATAAAAGCTAATTAACCGTCCACGTAATGCATGCGAGATGAATAGTAGGTTTGTACTTTGCATCGAGTTTTGCACGTTTGATGACGTGAAAGAACAAAAAATCAGAATACCGAGTTAAGTTTTATGATTATGAATAATGATAAAAAAAGCCGTCATGTTGATTGAACAAAACACTTTATATTATTGGATAGAGAAATTTATTGGTACTTTACGAAGAATCATTACACGCGGAATGAAAGTCTTTCACTGGTCGTACTGCGGTATCGCCAAGAATATTGAAATCGCAAATCGGTGCTTTGCAATATGCGGCGAGGGTTCTGGAATGGTCCGCGCGCTGACGCTGGCGCCAAAAAGCAGCGCTACATAAGTGAAAGCTTAAAATCAGAGAAAAAAAGCGAATGAAAGAAACAAAGCAGGGATAGGCGAACGCCAGACACGAATCAGTGGCAATATAAACGACGGCACTCGTTCAAGAGATGGAAAATTTTAATTTCTGTACGTCACCTACTCGTTGAGAGAAAAAAAGTCCAAGGAATTTCAAGATGAATTATCACATCTCTTAACTGTGCCCTGCCGCCAGATTTCACGTGGTTTGTGGTAGGCCAGATGTCAATGATAGTTGCCATATTCAAGAGACAACTGGACATATTCTTGGGCACAATCCCTGATCGTCCGGCCTTGCACCACTACCAGGGGCGAGAAGCAAGCAACAGCATCGTGCATCAGCTGGCCCAAATGAGGGCGGATGCGCGACAGTCAGAGGTGGCGATCCATCGTGGCCTGGGACTGCTACGTCCTAAACATATACTAGTCGAAACTAAATCCCCGTGGCCTGGGACTGCTACATCCGAAACATGAAGGATACAGTGACCTCATATTGAGACTTCGCTGAGACGCTGTAAGCAATGAATCCTATAATAGAAACTATAATTTCCAGACGGAATTTGTACAATATACTCAAGATTCCAACACCGGATCAGCGTAAATGCGAATAACAAATAAGTAGGAGCCACTGATAAATAATTACCTCGATAATTGAATGTTTTACAAATGAAACTAGAAAGAGTAAAGTGACGAATTTACTTTTCGCTTGCGAGTGATTCTGCTGCTTGGCTCTTATTTGATGAATTAATGGCGCATCGCGACCATTAAACCACAGTGGGGTAAAATGTTTGATGTAGCGAATCGATGATATAATATTGATTAGTAGCTAATACCTGCTTGATCGAAAAATGGACAGCATCAAACGTCGCATATTTAAAACTGGTCTTACGGATTTATGTTCAATAAAATACTAAGCTTTCAATAATCAGAAAATGATTAAATAAATTCATAATATTAAGCTCTTTTTCATTGGTTCTCGCCACGCAGCCAAAAAAAAGGTTAATCACAAAATTTCCTAAATGTAGGACAATGAGAGCATAATTTATTGCCTTGCTGAAGCGCACAGACAGAAAATAGAAATCAACAACGAATTTTCCAATGTCTACTTAGTTTTTATTTCAAAATCGTGTGTTCCTTCCGTTCAAAGTATTGATAGCATTGAAACGAAAGACAATTGCCATCGTTTGTTATTCTCCTAGCTTTGAATTCACTGTCGATGTCACGGGTCAAAAGCATCATTTCAGTTGACGTAATGGCTCACAAATCTACAAACGATTAGCATTTAAATGATACGATTTTTAAACTAAAATACTAGCGAAATAAGCAAAAGGAATTCAACGAGTTAATAGGGATTCTTAAAATTCGAATTAACTAACAGCAAATAAATTTACAGTAAACATTGAGAGCAGCTCCACTTTACTGCAGCTCCTTAGTCATTTGTTCAATCGCATTTCCAGCACAAACAATTCACACGTCTAGAGAAAAAAAAAAAACAAACGAGGACGCGTTCCCGGCAATTAATGGAATTACTCGACATTTCAGAGACAAAAAGCTAAAAGCATTTTCATCACCGAGTTATCGGAATTCTATAATTGCAAACTTCCGAGCGGCATCTAAAAATCACCGGCTGTATGGATTAAAGAATATCATCAGCGGTAACATGGCGAAAGACGATGCAAAATCAGACTTGCTAAACGAGCTTCCGACGACCGGGCGCAATTAAATGAACGGAGAAATCACGAAGCGTAAATCCTAAATAAATGAAACGCACGGGTTGTGGCGCTGAATACATCCATGCAAATTCATGCGGCGTGAGTGATTAACTTTCAATCTTTTTTTGATTGTTAACTTGGAAAATATTCGACAATAAAACTGAGAACTAGGGAAATTTATTGTCTACTGAATTACCAAGGGCAGGTTTTATTCATTTAAATTTCAGTTCCTCGTAAATTATACTTATATAATTCTTTATCTTCGGACAGAATCCTTCCAATTTAAGTTTGAATTTACTTTAAATTACATAAAATCTATGTTTGTTGAAAATTATAGGAACAAAATGATCATAAATCAATCAGTATATATGTTACTATTTTAGGATCGCGACCAAGTAGTGGATCCCAGCTTTCCTTCAAGAAACAAACATAATTAAACAATGCGTAATAATCTACTTCAAACGAAGAGCGAAATGTGCAAAACTTAGTTTCAAAACATAATTTGAAAGTGGTCAAATTGAATCGTGAGCGAGTAAAAGCAGAAAAACAAGTTTACAAGATTTAAGCTTTCACGAATCATTCAGCTAATTGTTTACCGATGCAAGTCGGCATTAATGAACGCTAAGCATCGACGAGTGATTTCTAAAAGCAACTAAAATTAAATCCCAGGGTAAAAATATAGAAGTTCATTCGCACGGGAATTTCCAACGATGATTAATTTAGAAAGCTTCTCATTAATGATATTGTATAACACGGCACTCAACTGTGTTTAGCATAAATAAGAAAGTAATTATAGTGAATTTGATCAGCTACTGAGAGCGTACGTTTTGCAAAGAACTGAGGATTTTTATGTATTAAATGTTGCATTCGATGCAATAAGAACCCGCCTGCAACGGCCATCGAGGTTTATCGTGAAGATATTTTATGTGGCGTAAGTAACATGAAATACCACTTTCAGCTTCAGCCATGTTCAGCGCTAGTAGAATGGACAATCGAGAAGATACTCGGACATGATTTTATAGATGAATGATGAGCACAGCAAAAAGATGAAATTCCGAAAGTTCAGGGAAGAGATATGAATAAATCTGTACAATGTAGATAAATCTGTACGCAAAAATCTCGAATAACTCTAACAAGCCAACACTATGTCAAAACTGATGAACAATATAGTAGGATAAAAAATCGTTTTGAAAATATCAAGCTGTGCCATGAGGTGTCGGAAACTGAAATCAGCACGCACATAAGAAATCTGTGTCGGAATTCTATCATGGAACTGAGAGCATTGAAGAACATCTTCGATTAAAAATAATTCATAGTTCTTTCATTTTCAATTTTATTCCATTTTGATTCCAGAAAACTCGGAGCTTTATTCTAGCTATATTTCAAGGTCCTAGGATCCATACGTGTTTCGATAGTCTGACAATAAAATATGCTAGGAAACAACACGTCTTGTATGAACAGCTACTGTGAAAGTGAATATTTTAACTTGAGATTCATCCTTCAACTCGAGTCCCCTTCCGTGTCACAGAGATATCAAGTCAAAGAAATAGTGATGCGAGTCCAGGATATAAGCCGAGTTCAAACAGAAGCTCTGGCTCTAATTTATTTACCACTAATTAGATTATTCATAGGAACGTCGTGTAAAGCGTTCACCGAGTAGCATAATAATTGCAAAATTGAGGTATAAAATACTGGAGCTGCTCAGCAGCTTACCTCACGCTAGGCAATTGTGAGGTCTACACTATATACTAGTACTAGGATCTACTTGTACTAGGATCAACTGGTACTAGGATCAACTAGTAGTAGGATCTACTAGTTCGAGAACCTACTAGTACTAGAATCTACCAGTAATAGAATCTACTAGTATTAGGATCTACCAGTACTAAAATCTACCAGTACTAGGATCTACTAGTACTAGAATCTACCAGTACTAGAATCTACCAGTACTAGAATCTACCAGTACTAGAATCTACCAGTACTAGGATCTACTAGTACTAGAATCTACCAGTAATAGATCTACTAGTACTATATCTACTAATCTACTAGTACTAGGATCTACTAATACTAGGATCTACTAGTACTAGGATCTACTAGTACTAGGATCTACTAAGACTAGAAAATACTAGTACTACGTAGTACTAGGATCTACTAGTAGTAGAATCTACTAGTAGTAGGATCTACTAGTATTAGAATCTACTAGTACTATTATAAGCTGTAGGACTCATAGGAAGAAAAGGTTACAAGTAACAAACTAGTTAATTCATGCGTAAAAAGTAAACCTTTAAGTATGCCTAGTATGTAATTCAATCACTCTATTAATGAGAACTAAATACTTGAACATCATAAAGAGAAAATTTGGTTGTCTCTCAACAAAACATGACAATTTTATTTTGAAAAATGAAAGGATTAAAATCCGCTAATTAGGTGAAATAAAATGCATGTACACATGTTTGAAGTAAAAATATTTGCCTAATAACCTGATGTGAAACAATTTAAATTTGTTTAAAAACTTATTATTCTTGCAGATATATTTCAAAATATTTATGTATAACGTGCGTCAAAAAGCAGTTCAGTGTTTTTAAACAATTATGTCGTAATGGAAGGCTTTTAATCAGAGTATTTGCATTGTATATTTTACACATGGCAGGCTTCATCTCAACGATAAATCAACACGAAAATGGACTTGCACGAGGCAGCTGCATCAAAAAACAAAATGAGCTAATTATCTCCTTGCATTTATTGGTGCAACGGATAATTATTATTATCTGAGAGTAGGTTGTAGATACAAATCCTCATGTGTTTACCAGCAGACGACAGTTTATACAGCATATGCGTCACGAGGCTGGGAACCATAATTCTGGATGGGAACCTTCGTAAGGCCTCCAGTAACTGACAAGTACGCTGCCATGTAACGCGCGTTAGAGTTACTCCGACCTAACGGTCGACGTCTTAGCATTACAGCGGTTGGACAAAATAAGGGACATTTTGATATCGCAATTTTTGAACATGTTGCAAACAATGAAAACGTGACATATTTTTATGTTTTATTGTTGCTGCTAATTGACATTTTATCCTGGCAGAGATATTTTTAGTAAACTTTTTTGTGTCTATGACCTAACCTATAAAAGGCAAACCTCTCACACTTTAAAAGAGGCCAAATTGTTAGTGCCCGTATGGCAGGTGCTAGTGTGACAGAAACTTCCCGAACGCTTGACGATTCTAGAGGTACTTTCTAAAAAGTAATGAATGCTTTTGAAAAAGAAGGAAAAACTTCCTCAGTAAAGCACAGTTCTGGACGCAAGTCGAAGTTGTCCGAGAGAGACCGTCGGTACCTAAATCGAATTGTGAGGGACAATCGAAAGACCACGACTGTTAAATTTACTGCAGTCCTCAATGGACACCTACAGCACTGCTACAGTTTCCATAAAGACTGTCCGCCGAGAGCTGCACTGATCTGGATTCTAGCAGCAATTAGAAAACCTCTGGTTTCAAATACAAATGCTTGGATCAAAGCGTTTGAGTGGTGTAAAAACCGGCAGAATTGAGCTCTTCAGCAGGAGAAAAATGTGATTTTCTCTGTAGAATCCTCGTTTACCTTATTTCTAACCTCTGGCTTCCTCCAGACCGTAAATTATGGCGGGCGATCTGTGATGATCTGGGATGCTATTTCTTGGAAATCCGGCGGACCAATGATTTCTCTTCATGGAAGAATCAACGGCCATGACTATTTAGGAATATTGGAGGACCAAGTTTATACATTTTTTTCGCGCACTGTTTCCGTAGGATAACGCCATCTTTCAAGATGATAATACCGAGATTCATACAGCTGGAATTGATAAAAAAAATGGCACTAGTAACATTCTAATTAAGTTGAGCTTCTCATTTGGCCACCACAATCACAATCTCGATTCAAAAGCGCGAGTCTTGATTCTTATCATTCGTTTTTCAGATCAAAGAAGGTCGTTATTTGCATGGCTATTCACTCGCATCACGAAACAAGTATTCCAACGACTGAAATGAATCAGATTCTTCACGGACAAACTATGTAAAGATATATAGTCACGTGTTCAAATGAAACACTGCGCTTTATATGTTAGATGATCATCATTGTTGAAATTTTGTTCACTGATAGATGTGATAATTCATCAAATACAACTAACTGATCGTCTTTCATAGATGAAGATAGCGGGAGGCCATAATTCTGAATCGAGAGAAATAAAACAAGCTTGGGTAAAACGGAAAAGATCAAGCGCTCTACGTGATTTAAGAGGATTCATCGAATAGGAATTAATGTGATGAAAATTAACTTAGATAATTTAACAATTATGAAGGTTCGTCGACGTTTAACATTCAATGGGTAGAATGAATATCATGTAGAAAAGATGTGGCTTGGCTGCGCACTTACACAGATATTGCTGAAATAAAGCAATATATATATTATACATTATTGCTGCAGCATAATAAATTTATATTCAATGATGTCCATATCATCACAGCACTGCAGCCGCAGCAGACTCGATGGTGCCCACGATTATCAACTGTATTAGCCAAAAACATTTCTTAATGTTCAAGTATGCAATAGAAATATGATGTTCCGATAAAAGCATTTAAAAACCATAAACAGAAAAAAAAATAATTATAAATATATATATCTAGTGAAATTTATTCATTAAGATATACCTTTTCATTTGACCCCAGCAACTTAAGTACGGTGGCGCCTCAAGTGTCATTGACGGTAAACGTAATTTGTTGGCCGTTGTTGAACTAACCTAACGGCGGCCCGAAAGCTAAAGTGACCGACGGCTGACTGAAGGCTAAACTGACCGAAGCGGCCCAAAGGCTGAATTGCCCGACGGCGGCCCAGTGACCGACGGCGGACCGAAGGCTGAACTGACCGACGGCGGACAGAAGGCTGAACTGACCGACGGCGGACAGAAGGCTGAACTGACCGACGGCGGACAGAAGGCTGAACTGAACAGCCCGAAGGTAGAACTGACCTAGCGTCAGCCCGAAGGTAGAACTGACCTGACGGCAGCCCGAAGGTAGAACTGACCTAGCGTCAGCCCGAAGGTAGAACTGACCTGACGGCAGCCCGAAGGTAGAACTGACCTGACGGCGGCCCGAAGGTAGAACTGACCTGACGGCGGCCCGAAGGTAGAACTGACCTGACGGCGGCCCGAAGGTGGAACTGACCTGACGGCGGCCCGAAGGTAGAACTGACCTGACGGCGGCCCGAAGGTGGAACTGACCTGACGGCAGCCCGAAGGTAGAACTGACCTGACGGCGGCCCGAAGGCTGAACTGACCTGACGGCGGCCCGATATTGCGTGTCCGGCAGCAGGCCGCTCAGCGTGTAGCTCTCAGCAGGGATGTGCTCGGTCAGCTCCGTCCAACGCTCGAACTGTCCGCCCCAAACCTGCCGCATACAGAGAACACATTTTTAACCTATATATATTGATACACTAACTTCCGTCAATACCAATAATATAAAATATACCTATTCGCTTTTAAAACTTTTTAAACTTTTTAAAGAAATATGTCGGGCCTTTCTTCGTCAGCTTGTCACAGTTAGAATGATCAGAATAAGTGTAGAGAGTTAGGTGAATGAGTCACGGTTGGTGCATATGACCTAGAATAAAAACTTGAGATCGGTGCTCGTAATTAACTTAAAAATGTGAAAATTTCAGGCCTTAGCTTTAGATGATTCGCATTTTAACGGTTAGAAAATTTTAAAAAATAAAGCCGAACTGCAAGGCTTATTCTACATCAGAGGTTCCCAAAGTGGGCGATATCGCCCCCTTGGGGCGGTGAAAAGATCTGGGGACCTCAGGTGAGGAAGAAAAAGGCGGTAGAGGGGCGGTAAGGGGGGCGGCAGCCCGCGAAGTCGAAGTCAGAAGTTCGTGCTTTTGTTTGACGATTTGTACACAACACATGCAGAACATGACTCCGACTCGAATAAATTTTCTATAGCCAAAACATACCTTTTGTTAGTTAGGAGAATTTATATTCAAAATTTCGTTCGAATTTGTTCAGAAGTTTGGAAGAAATTCTTTGATCACTGCGAATTTCGACCCATATCGCCATGTAACTCCCGAATGAAGGCGAAATTTAAAAATTTTTCACAAGCTAAACATCACTGTTAGGTCCTAATGAATACGTTTTCCATGTTTTATCGAGCTGTGCTCATTAGTTTGGGAGATATTCCTAGGTCACTGAATTTGGAGATTGGCCGTGAGACCGGCTGCGAGACCGGCCGTTAATTTGTCCGAGCCGTCTTGAATTTTTAGTGCTGAAACAGTTAAAACTGTAAAAAATATATTGGTCTACTAAATGGGGTTCTATTTGTGAAATACACATTTGTGTTCAACCTTTCTCTTTAAAATTGAATTGTACTAAATATCAAGAAAGAGGCGTAGGTATGTGTCTGTCGAGGGGGGGGGGCGCTAGAGATTCACTAGGGAGCCAAAGGGAGCGCCAGCCTGAAAAAGTTTGGGAACCACTGTTCTACATGATCAAGTAAAATATAAAACATCAGAACAATTTATATTGAGCTGAAAAATAAAACGCTGGGTACGTTGCAGAAGTTAGATGTTACGACTCCTGAGCATGCAAGCATTAGACTAGACAAACTAGGATAAACTATGACGTCATTAATACCTTTAGAAGGACGCAATTAATATTTTTAGAAAGAAGTAATTAATCCCTCTTGAGGATGTAATTACTACCTATAGAAGACATTATTAGTAGCTCTATAAGACGTAATTATACCTCTATAAGACGTAATTAATACCACTAGAAAGACGTAATTACTACCTATAGAAGACATTATTAGTAGCGCTATAAGACGTAATTAATACTTCTAGAAAACGTAATTAATACCTCTAGAAAGAAGTAATTAATCTCTCTTGATGGATGTAATTACTACCTATAGAAGACATTATTAGTATCGCTATAAGACGTAATTAATACTTCTTTAAGACGTAATTAATACCTCTAGAAGACATAATTAATACCTCTAGAAGACATAATACCTCTAGAAAGACGTAATTATTACCTCTAGAAAGACGTAATTAATACCTCTAGAAGACGTAATTAATACCTCTAGAAGACCTAATTATTACCTCTAGAAATACGTAATTATTACCACTAGAAGACGTAATTAATACCTCTAGAAAGACGTAATTATTACCTCAAGAACGTAGTTGGTAATGGGAGAGTCGCCCTCCTGGTGAGGCGGTGACCACGACACGGTTATGGCGGTCGCGTTGTGACTCCGCAATCTGGGTGTGGTGTGGAAAAATAACAACAATTGCTATTCATGCGAACATGTCAAAATCATTAAGAAACCATCTTCAAAATAATTGTCAACATCATTTATGGCTAGATGTCAACATCAAGACTAATAGCGCACAATTTAAAATTCAGAATTGTTTTTCAAAAGTACACGCAGTCAGTATACTAACATAGAACGTTATTAACAGATTTAAAATAGGAAAAATCAGGAGAAATAATTTCGACAGTTTCGAAGCAGAACGAAAAAACAATCTATGACACTTCCGTGGGTCGAAAATGAGGACCTCGAAATCAGGCCCTCGTGAGGGCCGTAACTGCTACGGCACCCTCTCTCGGACGCACACACAGAAAAATCAACGAGTCATGTAGTGCAAATAGTAACCCACATAGAACTGGTAAGGGCTTTTCATAAGGTCAAACTGAGTCAGAATAACCCACACAAGCACTAAAATGCATCGCTACCTCAAAAAAGACTCGCTCTTTTCTCTGAGTGTGCACTTTGAGCGCTAACTCAGAACTGCTGGTGCCAGCGAGTGAATCGCACTGGGTTCGAAATAAGACTCGGGACGTAACGGTTACGCGCGCTAAAATGTTGAGTAAATGAGAAAAATATTGGCGGGTAAAAAAACGTGGCCGCCAGAACAACTTTTACGATCGTCCGAGACGCGTAACTCGGTTCAATATTGAAATTTCTAGAAGAAATCCGCCATCTACCGTCACAATTCCTTTGAAAAGAAAGCATTGCCACAGACGAAAAACTGAGAGTAGTACAGCTGAACCACCGAAACTAAAATTCATTTCAAACAAAACCAAATAGCGTATGAGTTAAAAATATCTCAACAAAAATCAATAAATCATATTCTTCTTAATTCTACACACAATGCAACCGAGAACACAGGACGCGAATAAGCCGCATTTATGATGACAGGCATATTACAGTATGAGTGACAGGCGCTTCTCACCACGCAAATAACATTGAAACTACATTTAATTGCCGTATTTTTTACATTATTATTAACATTATCACTATTCTACGAAGCGATTGCCGTGGCGTCTGCTTCAAGCGAACTTTGAGGGCACCTTATACACAAGTGTGCTAGTAAGGAAAATATGAAAAGACACGAGAAATGATAAAAACGAATATGATATAAATGATAAGAACGATAATTATGCGTACATTACAACGTTAATTAATGTCATCTGCCTACCGTCAATGCCGATAACCTCGCCAGAAGCACCGAAGTCACCGGCCTTCACTAGAAACGATCAATTTGTAAACAAAACTGAACCCCTTCTAGCGCGATCGAAAGTTTCAGTTATTATAAGGCGATGGAACCCTACAAATCATAGTTTTCTTTAGAATTATAAGGTTTTTAGTTAGTGACATGCGGCGTGGTATGTGCAGTTTCTGCTGAGTGGCGACTTATTTGGTATTGACGATAGCTGCTGAGTGGCGACTTTAGTGACATTGACAGTAGCTGTGGAGTGGCCACTTGTGTGTCATTGACGGTAGCTGCAGAGTGGCGACTTTAGTGGCGTGGACTGTAGCTGCTAAGTGGCCACTATTTGACATAGACGGTAGCTGCAGAGTTGCGACTTATTTGATATAGACGGTAGATGCAGAGTGGCCACTATTTGGCATAGACGGTAGCTGCAGAGTGGCGACTTTAGTGGCATTAACGGTAGCTGCAGAGTGGCGACTTATTTGATATAGACGGTAGACGCAGAGTGGCCACTATTTGGCATAGACGGTAGCTGCAGAGTGGCGACTTTAGTGGCATTAACGGTAGCTGCAGAGTGGCGACTTTAGTGGTATTAACAGTAGCTGCAGAGAGGCGACTTTTGTGTCATGGTACTATAGTGGGTTTGCCATGCACTGACCTGGGAGCTGAGGGAGGTCCCGGTAGTTGCGTGGGGCTGGGCGTGGGGCGCGGGGCAGCTGATGGCAGCAGCAGGGTCAGCGTGGCAGAGGCTGACGAGCTGCCTGACGCTGACGTCGCCCGACACCAGAACTTGCCAACGTCTGACGGCCGTACGTCTGATGAGGCAAATATTAACAATATTAATAATACATGGAAGATCTGGCGGGAACAACTAGCTTTGGATTTACCAAATATACGAGGTTATGTACGGTTTCGTTTTATTCTATTTTTGTATTTTCGATATTATTCGATTGAAGTCTTATTGTATCCTAACTTCTCCCTGCAGTCCAGATATAATGATAATATCAGAAAGATATTGATTAATAAAATAATGTACTTGTAATGAAAATCAATACATAATCAAATGCTTCCGAAATATCGCGGCCACAGAAAACCAATAATTTAACGACTTAATTGAAAAACCTTTGAGAAATTATCTGGGAATGAAATGATCAAATCAATGCAAAAAAAAAAAAATGCAAGTTCGGCTTAGCCAGCTTTCACGGTACACTTTCAAGTAAAGACATGTATCCTCATCATCAAAACGCAGTGACCAAAAGTGCGTTCAAATCAGGAATCTTCCGGGATCCCTGCAGTGAAAAAATTATTCGACACATCCTAGTTCGCCGTAAAAATAGCTCAAATCAAGCGCTCAAAGCAGGAATTTGGCAAACTAAAACTCGAAAAAATTTTGAGATATGTGGAAGATTGAATTTTCCACGGAATTTGCACTCAGCTCACTTCAATAAGCATTTGTTGCGATAAGCCGATCAGTTTTGGCGCAAAAACTCACAAGTAAAGTAAAAAAGCAATGCGACCCGACAAAGGAATATTTGAAGAATTCACACAGCGCCATCCTATATGAACTCAGAGCTTCATAAAAATCCGATCGTTGCTGATGTAAAGGCAGATTTGGCCGCAAGATTATACATTTTTCAGAGATAAGTGAGAAGATATGTCAGAACTGAAATCATTCACGCTTTCTCCGAGCACGAAATCTGACGATGAATCTAATATTTAACTTGTTTTCTGTCAAGCCGTTTTAAAATAACGGATAAAAACTCGTTTACAGAAGATTAATGTGCGAGTAAAATGATAACTCGCAGAAAATTTTGCAATGCGACGAAAGAAATTGGAATATTCAGTTCCAATAAATGCGAATATCATAGAGTATAAGATAGTGTAAGAACGTAAACGTCATAAAAATATGAACGAGATAATTTTCCATAATAATTTCAACTCACATGAAAATATAAAGACTTTTCACAGGAAAACCACCTAATTAATGTAGATAGTAAAATTCACTGCATTAAAAAACTAAATAATTAATAATAACAGCAGCGACCAAAAATCTTAATCTATTACGATAAGACCTTGAGAACAAAAAGTACGAGCTAAATTAGGCGTGTCGTTTACGGCCCTTGCATAAATTAAATATCCGACATGAAAAATTATACACAAAATTTTCATAAATATTCATAATGTCAGACTAAACGATACACTGAACGGAATATTTTAGAGCACAAAAAACTCCTGACGCACGGCACTCATTATAAAAACATGAACGGGGCCAAAATTTCCACACTAATCAAGCGACAGCATGCAGACGAGACGAATTTTCGTGAACTCTACGGATAAAGCACAGAAGATTTAAGTACATTGCATTGTTTTAAAGCTGATGCCTTTGTAAGGTGTCTGGCACAAAATTTTAGAATACGAAGTCGTTTAAAGCAGCAATTAAAAATGTAAAAAGTTTGGCAGTTGTATCTAATTAGACAAGTAACTACCGTATATTAGTTAGTGATAAATTAACCTATGGAACTCACCGAGGAAAGTATCCTCAAAATCACTTTTTTACAGCCCAGATTTTTACTTTAAATAATCTTTGAGCGCGTCAATGAGCAGTGAAACAAATAACGAATTTTTAGACGCATTCGATTAACTTTGTTAAACACGATAACGAACATCTAGGTTAATAAATAGAAAGTTTTCGTATCGGTTAACCTAATTAGACATGTTTAGAGAAAAGAGCTCATCAAAGCGGGCAGCAAATGTCTATTTAGTAAACATTTTGTTCCGAAGCTGGAACACTCGAGTCCAGAGGAGCCGACATGCAATGGTGATGGATACGAGCATTTTTATGCGCTTCTCGAGGCATTACCTAATTTCAGAAGCATTTTAACCGCTTCACGTCCTATAATTGCCGCCAAGTCTACCTGTTATTCCTAAATTAAATCATTACAAGTTCATCAGAGTAAAACAATGTTAAAAGTATATTAGCGCAAAGCCATTGAGCTTTAGCTGCGTGGTAAACACAGCACATGCAGTCTTTGTTTTGGGGATTGTTAAACACACGAACAACTGTCACCAAGTTGACAACAAACGAAACCATATCAAGAGGTGTTAAGCGTCGGTAAGAAATGATTATGATGCTTCTGATTGTTAAAAAAATAAATACGCACCAAACGGCAGCTAAAAACAACAAGCAACTCCCATAGTTCTAAAAGGCAGGCACAATACTGCTTAAATTAATTTATTTTACAAATAGAAGTGATGCCGCAACCACAGATGATACGTTAAGGGGAGTTTTGAAAGTTTCGCGCAATTATACAAAACTAGTGTTTAATTTGACTCGATTTAATAATATTCGATTATCATATTCAAGATTATTTGATTTGAAAAAAGAATAACGACTGAATTTAAAAACGAACTGCAAAATAAAATTTTACCCGCAATTTATTGATTTAGCAAGGGATATAACGCAGAGCACATGATGGCTCCACAAGTTTAGGCCTATAATGATAAAGTAATAGTTATGTCGAGCGGATGCATGACACCGGGAATGATGAGGGATGATCATGAGACGACCCACGATGGTATCCGAGCTCGTTAGCGATATTAATGGACAAAAATGAGGCAACGCCAGCTAACCGAATCAACTCTCGGGTACGCACTCTATTCACTGGAGAAACTTCGGCATAAACTTTAGCTAAAGTTCTGCAAGGAAAGAGAAGAAGTTGGCTCGTTCTCGTTCTTCACAGCCAAGCTTGTGAAAAAAACGGAAGGGGCCCAAATTATACATAAATTGGCTTAATTTTCGAGACCATCCGTATCATTTGTAGGGAGTCTGATTGCAAAGAAAATTAACTGCAGCTTCGTAGACAAACGAGTCCTTGTGAGTGAATTCTGAGACACACGTCCTGACATTGAGCGGAGACTGCGATGGTGTCGGAATTCGACGCTTGATGACGGAAAATTTTGAGTGAAGATACAATGATTGTTCGAGGATGACAGACATTTCGTAAGGATTGCTGAAATTGCTTGATGCCAGAAGAAACTGAGTAAAGTTACAGTGATTGTGCGGAGATGACAGAGATTCTTTTAAACCAGAAAAAATTGCGTGAGGATTCAGAGAATGCGTGAGGATGGCATGCAGAGATTGCTCGAGAAAATATGCAGAGATTGCATAAGAAAGGCAGAAGTGACTTGTTGCCACAATAAATTGAGAGAGGATGGCAGAGATTGAGTGAGTAGGACGGAAATAGTACAGGTGCCAAAGGAAGAAGTTTGGAAGGATATGCACTCGTAAACTTACTTGCAGCTGCTCGGTTTAGCGGTACGACAACTGACTTATTTCACAACGAACGCGGTAAATATCGGGAGTATTTTTCCCATAATACGGGTGCATCAATTAAGATATTTGACAATATGAGTACACTTTTGATAATCTTAATTTTTGTAATTCGCTAGAACTGTAGACATAGATGCACGACGTAGTAACGGAGGCTCGGAGAATATTAACACTGCGAGCATATTGATGAAATTCCCCACACAATTCGAAGCAAGTCCTAGGTTAACATTTTTCGTCGTTATATCTGCGCGTATCTGCGGAGGGGCAGGTTGAAGCGCCAGGCACCTTACACCTAAACCGATTGAAGGTCGGCTAAATTAGGCTTTGAAATTAACGCTATTTATTATTATTTTTAGATCTAACAAAAACATTTTTTAACATTAGATGATACAACCTATGATTACATTTTGGAAATAAAGGAAGCTTTAAGAAAGCGAGATCAAGCTCGACTGTTTCACCATAAACTCGCGATAACCTCGGATTGCTTTCATTTCATGATACATTGAAATAAGTGAAAAGAATGTATTCAGGGTTCCGATGACTGAGATCTGGTTTCGAATCAAAACATACTCGCCTATTAATAGGACCTAACGCAACAATGCGTATTACTTTCATTCAAGTATATGGTTAATAGGACCTAACGCAACAAAGCGTATTACTTTCATTCAAGTATATGTATTGCCTAAATTCTAGATAAAAAACAGTTCCGAGTGAAGGCTCATTACGAGATCTAGATGGATCACAACCCTGTGTTCGTGCCCCGGAAATCGTCGTGCATGATATCAAAGGAGTTTCGAGGCAAGAAAGATTGCGAGATCGCGTGTTCAAGATGCGATACGTCGGTGGTCGAAAAATGGGCTACGAAAATAGAAGACGCGGCGCACAATTAGTGATTAAAGGCATTAACGACCACGAGCTAAAACAGGGCGACGTTGTCCGTAGACAAACGCAAGCGAGATGGCCGGGCATGATGAAGGAACTCGAGATGACGAACGATCTTCTATTTGCGGTGCGATGCATCACTTGCGAAATGCAAGTTATCACGTAAGCGTTGTTTAAAAACGTTTCACCGTCAAAGTTTAAAGCCATGCCTCTACGTTGGATTGTCCGAATTCATGCAATATATCATTTAGGTGATACATAAATCTGGGTATTTTATTTCAAATCCCTGAATGGCGTGCATTATTATAATTTGAAGCATTTAATTATAGGTGAACCATGTGACATTCTCATAAGGTATAATGTAAACCTGTCTTCCATTAGACACTCCCAAGGTAAATAGCTTTTAAAAACCTAGACATGTAACTATTATTATGATTATTATATTAAAGCGTTATAAGTTATTAAAAAAATTATAACGCAACAATTATAACAAGAATATAATTGTTCAAATATAAGGATGAAATATTGCAAAACGTGATCAACCTCTTCATACTTCTCCATGAATAAATCACACAGTTATCCTGAATAGAAGTTTTTTTGTTA